ACTGATTATTTAGATGATATAAAACTTTTCATAACAATGGGGATTTTGGTGCATTGATCAAATTTTAAGATCAACTTAAATGAAAATAAATCAGATGGCCTATGAGTCGAAGCAGTGGTGTGTCGGTTTTTACTTCGGTCCATAGTTTTTCAGTGTAATTATTGTTGTTACCAATCTTGTACAAAAAGCTGAAGGTAAACTAGAGTTAGGCGTATCATGGTACGATAATTCTTATTGATTGTGTAATTTTACCAGTCTTTCCCTGTTTATTGACACTGCTAATTACATTCAGTCTTCGCAATTTTATGACAAGGTCGGCATTGGGTTTCTGTGGAAACTGTTTCTGTTGTAATTGCCTTTGTAAAAAGGAGCTCAGAAGATTGCTCGTGTATTCAAAATTAAATCTATGCGGATTAAATACGGTAATAATGCATTACATTAAGATATTTATATTCAGACTACATACACCCTAACTTCAATTTCACCACTGCTCCAGTCATGTAGATAAACTCAAATATACATATCGATTACTGTCATTCAACATTGATATTTAATCCTTTAATGAACTTACCTTATGTTCTGATCTTTAACATAAACATAAAACAAATGGAAAACGCATGAACGTATTTTTTTATTTGTAAATGTGTCATTAATTCCAATATAAGGAAGCAGGGAGAGGGATATGAATGATTGTTCATTCTAGGAGTATAATAATTTGAGGTAGTTGTGTGTCGTGTTTGCTAGTTGTTGGATAAGTGGTATGGAATATGAAATTTACATACTTACATACATGAAGAATATTTAATTGTTTAAGCAGATTAGCGGAACAGGGTTCATAAAGTCTTATTAGCTGTACGCTTTTTGCAAAAGGAATGTTTTGAAATACGTTCAATACGTCTGAAAAAAAAGCCAGCCATGATCAATGAAACACCCAACACTCAAATATAATCGACTTGCATACAACACAGTACTTCCGGGTATATGTTGTCATCGCCTCTTCCCTTAGACTGAGGGATACATGAGACTATAAATGTGATATGCATTCTCTACACAAAACAACTTTAAAATAAATCATTTGTCAGTACCGTCCTGAGAAAGAAATATTTCCTGGAGATCTAACGGCACGTACCATCAAGCTGAAATTAGTCAAGAGTGCTACAGATATAGCTCCCGCAAGGGAGAAAGAAGAATGATTCTGCGACTGACCATTAACCAGCTTTGAGGCGAGAAGATTTTTTAATTAAAAATATGAAGTTTTTCGATCTTGTCTGTCTGAATTAGTGCTTGAATTTTAGGATTATGAAAACTTATGATTTGTGCATTGTGCATTCCAGATTCAATATAAAGCATATTATGGATTTTTGTAGTGATTGCGCTTTTCTTAATATTGGTAATATCGCTTTACATTTTTAGATGAAATATGATGGTGAGAAGTAAGTTATTTACGCCACAAGTCCCCAAATTAACAGATACATCATATAATGTCATCAAAATCGACAGAAAAACTATTTCATCCCATGATAGGCTCTGTCAATCACTGACGATTATTGTAATTTTCAATAAACTCCTTCGATTATGCTCAAAAAAGAGGGTTTATATTATTGGACACCCGCTCATCGGCATCGTTTTTTTGTGGACTGATTATTATCAGGTTGGTGCTGTACCACTTAACGACTGTTCTGGAAAAAATAACATGACTTAATATCAGAATAATGGTCATCTTTTTTTATGCGGTATCTTATTCAAGAGATCAAAAATATTATTTGGTATGCAAAATTGTTGATGTTCATATTTATCATTACGAGGACCAACCTTGCAGCTAAGGTTATTTGTTTTGCGATATTTTTTTTTTATTTTAGATGACCAAATAAAAAGTAGTACAGATTGAGTAATATTTTAACATACTTGCTACCATAAGTTCTTCTTTATAAATATAAGGCACTCGATGAAATAGTTGCTTATCTACTTGAGATGACAAGCGGATATACATGGAACAGATTTGTTGCTTGCAACTATGACACCAACATTGCGCAGCAAAAAAAAAATGGATGGCACTGCCAAATATGGTTGCCCACTTCGCCACAAATTTAATTTCTGATCATTGTACGTTATTGTTATACTAATTATACGCCGACCCTAATATTGAAAGTAATGAACATAAACATTGCAAGTTGTTAGTTATTTGTTTTAGAGAACCTGTCGTTTTCTTCAGTTTATTTCTTTGGTTCTTTTCTTGATGTTCCACAACTTCTATACTATACTATATTCTATTATATACGGTCATAGCTACAGCAATGAAGTAGTGCTGTCTGTATCCAAGAAGCCCAATTGCTACTTACTTTTGCAATTGTATTTTACATGTTTTAGCCTTCGATAATCTAGTGTACCTCTAATTTTATTTTTACCTTTTTTTTTTATAGTGAACTACTTTTTAGAGCATCACAGTAACACACTTCAAGAACCATTATGTGTTCAGTTATCAAGAAAATATAAAGCAACTGCAGAATTGTTTATGAAAAATTAGCACTGTAACATTTATTAAGATAGAAAAATTAAATATGGAGTTTGGCGTTATGACTCAAACCGATACGAATTTTAGAAGAGCCCAATTCTCTATCACAACAGTACTGTAAAAGTATTCAATAGTATATAATGTAGCCATATATAAAATCAAATTTCTGTACCCTTTGTCAATTCACTCAAAATTATATTTACTACTCCGAGATGTTTTTCTTGACTTCATTTGTACAATTCAACTATATTTTTTGACAATTAAGAAACTCCTAACTGCGGGTAATAATGAGTCAGACGAGACTGCTGTTCCAGCAATACTCGACCCCGGTCTTATGTAAACTTGATGTCGCTTCTCATCGGGTGTTAACATAATAAAGACGGAAGACGTTCAGTTTTATTAATTTTTTACAGTGTGTTGGCTCTAACAAATCAGAAATAAGACAATAAATGAAAAGATGTTGTTCAGATGTTTTATCATGGTAGTACATGTAGAATTTGGAATTATGTAGTGAATGTGCTCTTACAGTGACTAGTTGCACATGCGCTATTCAAGTCACCAACGTCATAACATGTAGAATATAATTCTACACACAAGTAAACCTTTGTAAGCCCTATAATAACGCCTGTGTTAATTTAATTTCAAATACAGCATATTTGTGAACGCATAGTTTTCAATAAGATATTCCTATTGGCAGAGAGGGAAAATAGACATGTCTTAGTTATGGTTTCAAATTAAGCAAAACAACTAGACCCTCTATTCCTTGCAAGTAATCAATAATGTTAGTGAATACATACGTGAACATAACAAAGTGCGCTATACTAAATTACATGTATAAGGTATCACATATGATCGAAAAATTAATAAGTAATATGTGTATGAGTAAGTTTATAATTCAACGAAATATTGAAATTATACAAGTGCATTCTGCCAAAACCGCGGGAACTGCATAACTGAGTTAGTTGATACATCTACACTATTTTGCTGTTTAATTAGTTGTTTTAAGGTAGAGATGCAGGTTCGTGGGCACTCGGGGTGAATTTTTTTTTTTTGCTTCATATTATCCAAGCAGTCTTGGCTATAGACTGTTAAAATGTTGTAGAATTGTGAATAGTGGAACATACTCAAAAGGAGATTTTAAAATATAGATAACAGGTGCAAACATTCTCTCTTTTGAATGCTTAGCAAGATTTAGCAAGGCTGTACATAAATAATAAAAAAGAAACATGGTGAAAAAAAGAATTATGCAATATATTTAACTTTTTACAAAACGATAATGCATTCAAATTTGGAACTGTTACAGCCATTTTAATTATGAGCATTAGCAAACTTCTTACTGAGTGAATTGTTATGCAAATTAGCAATTATCTCAGCTTATTTTTAGTGCACATCCCAGAACTTTAAAAAAATAGCGCCCTAGACGCTTTGACCTTTTGTTTTGAAATTTTCACAAATGACTGACAATGTGTTTACGCCGTCGGGGCATTGTTTTTGGTTGAACAGTGTTACAACAATCGTACAGACAACTAGCTAGGGTGTTAATTTATGCATAAACTTTAAGTAGTGAAATTTGAGCTGCTGCCCTGCAAAATTGACAACTGGTAGACAGTTTTCAAGACGACACTTTCTTCATAGTGAACAAATATACCCGTAAACCAATTTTGACAGAAAACAGAAGCTTGGTTTAGAAGCTATTTTTTTTAAATCACTTTTGACCAAAAAAGCACATTTTTGTGCATATTTCAAACTACAGTGTCCATTAAAAAAATAATAAAAAAATTTTAAAATTCATACAATAAGCTTTCCGAAAATATATAGTTTTGTGGACAATGGAGGTCATCTTGGTTGCCTAATTAACTAATTAAAATACCTGTCAGGTAAACTGCATCTCTACCTTAAAAATGTAAACACAATGCGCATGTCAATTCATCTTAGGCCGATTGAGGACTTACAAATCATAAAAGTAACTATAAGTACAAATTCCCACTCTATCCTTCACCGAGCTTGCGTCAGATTTTGTGTTTTGACCGGAGAGTGACATCGTGTTTCCCATAACCCATTGCGTAATTTGTGAAAAAGCGAATGTTCCAGAACCTCGACCTATGACACATACGCGCCAACAAACGCCCACACTAAATCCTCACAACAGGTGAGGCACATATAAATCAAACTTATGAAATACCAAGATATTTGTCAGCGTTTTCTAAATCTAACATATGATAAATATGGACTGCAACATTACACATCATAAATGTAAAAAAAATTAGTTGGGATCGAAGAATGACATCGAGTAATTTTCCCACAACCTATTGCGTGATAAACGAAAATAGTGTTCTGGGTCTTCGACCTGTTACACATACACGCCAACAAACACTCATGCATAATCCCCAAAACAGATGAGACGCATACATCCGCATCAATCAATCGTGTTACAATAGAGACTCACAACATATATAGAGTAGTCGGAGTTGCTATTGCATACGCCACCTACAACTTTCGTTGAAGCGCGTGTAGACGTTTTCTGAATATGAAGATGCTCCGTGTCCTACTGCTCGTTGCTACAATCATTGCATTGGAAGGCCAGGGTGATGTGAGTAAACATTATATGTTTGGTAAATAGACTGTTTGCTCTCACTTGATATTAATATTAGATTGTTCTCTTGTTATTATTGTATAGGAGCAGGTTCGTTAACACTGATTACACTGATTTTTGTCTGCTAGAGACTGCTAAGATTTCGCAGCGGAACATACACATACAACTAACAGCTATTCAGCTATTCGGTAGCAGAAATTATCAAAGACAGGTTTATCGAGGCATGTTTTATTCAACTACAGACAAAGCGGCAAGTAAATATGAAACAAACCTTGACATCTGGAAATTTATAGAGTGTCTCAGTACTTAGAGGTCGTCGAGCAGGCCATACAACATACTAAGACGGCATCATACCACTAAGACGGCATTGAATTGCAATGCTACCAGCCGGAAATGCTATGTTATTGTATTGCGAACCGAAAATCTTTTGAAGAAAGATAATGTTTTGTGATTTTTTTAGATCGTCCACGATGCAAAAAGCTATTAAATCTTTGCAACCAAGAGAACAAATACAATTGTGACCATGTTTCTCGCCAGTTGTCAGGCTAGAATCGTCGACACTTTTGTGAGATAACAGTGAACGATTTGTTTATATTATTGTCAACTACATGTTCTTTTGTCTTGTTTCGCTTGCCATGCTGGAAGCGTCTCCGTCTTGTATGTCTTTGTAGTTTGTGGGACTAGTTGTTCGCGCTTGAGGTAAGTAAAAGGGAACCGCGACCGACAGTGACACGTCGCTGCACCATACTGAGGCCAGCAATGAATTTATATATGTCATCAACAGTGACTTGACAATCTTAGAGCAACGTAACAAAAATATAGATCAAATACACGTGCCTTTAAAAAGTATGTTTGAGTATGTTCCGCAGTACGAAATGTTAACACTATGTAAAAAAAAAGCTGTGGTAATGAACCTGCGTCTACGAATAGAACATTGCATCTTTTGTACTTTTGTGTGTTTCTCCTGTAATGTATCATTATACATGTATATCATTTCAGGCACAATTTTTTAAACGATTTGATTATAATCCTGTTTATACACGTGAGTATATGTACAATAACACTTGTTATTTTAACAATATTTTGTTGGCACTTACAACAAAAACAAGTATAAATGCGGGATAAGATGTTGCAAATAGTGTCGTTTTGAACTCAAAATGATGATCACCAATGTGACATATTTCAAGATGATAGTATATGTATAGTAACTGCTTTCCACAGAATAAAGAAAAAAAGTGAATAATCACTCCCAGTTGTACAAGACAGAACAATCTTGTTGTATAAACCCGTTAACGAATATTTTTTATAGCATCTGATGCTGTAGCATTTTGGCCGCTTAATGAAGAATACGAACTTGATGACGAATCTGGTAATGGTAATGATGCAACTGACCCTTGGGGGAATGTAACGCTGGTGGCACCAGCCAACGGGAGACAATGCGGCGCTTATGAATTCCGTGGTAACCCCAGCTCGTATTTATTTTTTCCAAACAACGGTGCATACGACACATCAAAAACAACAAAGTCCATCACTATCATGGCTTGGATTTATCCGTACGGTAATGCGGGTCCTATTTTCTACTTCGATCCAAATAAAACGGATACAGCTGTTGAATTGTCACAAGTGGTAGATAATATGGGAGGGTTGTCTGCAAGCGTTAAATTTACCAAACACAACGGAACTCAGGTAACGCCTTTAACGACATCCATACCTTTGAATGAATGGTATCATTGGACTGTTATGTACAATGATGACATTAACAATGGGTATGTGTACATAAATGGGATTGAAATGGCATGGTCAAATTATGATCCAGGAAAACTAGCAACTCAATATCCAGCACAAGCCGGTGCAGCACTATTTCCTCAAGCATGGTTTAATGGTTTTATAACTTGTATACAAATTTACGATAGAACATTGACTGAAGCTGAAATTAAGGCAGCCGCGTATCACCCCAAATGCGTATGTTCTGGTAAGATGCAATAAAGTTCATATCATGATATTATGTCGATATTAATTATTCCTTTAAACAAAATATTTAAAAAATATTGAGACATTTTTGAAAAAAAAAGTTATAATGTATCTTGTCTATACATTTTTTTATTGAAGGCCCGAAACATGACCCTCACTTAACCACTTTAGATGGGCGTGATTACAGTTTCCAAGGCATGTGTTGGTATACACTTGTAAAGGACTGCTCCAGCGCAAACTCCCAGTTTGAAATCACCACTGATTTTGCACCACGAGACGATACCAGTGATGAAATTAGAACAAGAGCTGTTGCCATCAATGTTACAGTTGGAGATGAAAGCGTTGTCGTTAATCAGGACAATGTTGCAAGTGTAAGTACAGTTTTCTTGAATTGTCTGCCTTTGAATGCTCAAAAAGTGATTCATTTGATATTGGACACAGTCACTCTCGATAATAAGGTTTATTCGAACTCAAGATCATGGCAAGCAGCTACCACGCCAAACTTATTATGCTAAATAACACACTTCCACAGTGATTAGCTGATAGTAAGTTGATTCGAAAATCGACTCGTGCATTAATTTATCCTTTAGGTGAGTGATGGTAGTCTTAAAAATATAAACATCGTACATGACGGCGCCAAGGCAATATTGAGTTTCAAGCTGAAAGACACAACATTCAAGTTACTCTGGACTGGAAAGAAACACATGTTTAGTATTGAGTTCATTGGTGATTATTATCGCGGAAAGATGTGCGGTCTGCTTGGTAATGCTGACGGTGATGCTAAAAATGACTTCCAGAAACCCGATGGTGTTATTGTAAAGGATGTTATTGAGTTCGGAGAGAGTTGGAAAGTTCCTGGCAAACAGTAAGTATGAGGAACTGAATGAATCGTGAATCTGTTCAGAATATTATAAGTGTTCAGTCAAGAATTTATTAATCGATCGACTAGAATTTGTTTACCACTTTTTCTTTCAGATGTTAATGTACACCACTGACAGTCAACAGATGGTTACTGATCGTTCTCTATGAATAATACAAATCAAGCTTAGTGTCGCATAAACGCATAATTAATTAAAGTCGTGGGTTTGGTGTTGGGTGTACAGTATCAATTTTATTCTCGTTTTTTTTGGTAAAATAAATGGCTTGCAGAAGGATACAATAGTGTGTGTATTTACTAGCATGTTATACTGATGTTAGATTACAGATGGGCCACGTGTAAGGATAAAGGTCCCAGTTGACAATATAAGATGGAATAAACTACACAATAAGATAATAAGCTGCATGGCTCAAATCTACTTGTATTATTCTGGTAACCTTAGGCTCGCTACCTTGAAAGAAAATAAACGTGTATAAATAGAGGCACACATATGAAATCAATAAAATTGATGACTCGCCTCAAAAAATTTCCATTTCCCCGAGCTGTCTACTGGGATCAGAAGACATATTATTTATTCTGTGAACAGCCAAATTAACCAATGTGTCGAGTACGGACATGGTACATGCTGCTATTTAAAAGGTGGTATGCAACTACCCTCTCGGAAGGTTCTGTCAATATTACCGAATGCGTTTCAGATTACAGTGATCTTAACATAAATTCGATCTGTATGTTCTTCTATGCCAATACACGGACCCTGGAATGACAGAAACGTTTTTGAATATTTATCGGTCTTCCTCCTAATAGGAACTAAAAATTGGTAAATTGAGATTTTGTATCAAATTTATTTGGCTGTTATTTTTCAATAATATATTTGTCATTAAATGAACAAATATCATAGCGATCCATCACAGTGCCTACTTATCAAGTGTCAATTAAACACTTCATTACATACTTGATGAAGTTAAAACACATTGCCACAAATAGTAAATCTGAAGAACAGTTTCCGGCAATACATGCGTTTATCCATCCTACAAAATCTGATATCGTTGCTCAAGTTAAATTGGTTTACAAAAACACCATTTTTTGAAAAAGATTCTATGTATATACATACAAATGCTAGCAGAAAAGTGTGGGGTGTCATGAATAAGCGAAAAATATAATAGATCAAGCGGAGTCTAATTTTACTGGAAAAATAAAAAGTAAAAAATGAAATATTCAGTCAGGATGGAGGATAATTTGTGAATATCGATTTCCAATATGTGGTAAAACCGACGATAGACATGCATACCAACGTATGCGGGACACTGGTTCTGTTAGCAACTCATGCCTTGGTACCTTATTTTAATAAAATTTGTAACGCGTGTCAGAGATTGAAAAATAACACAAGATAGTTATCAAGCAATTGTAGAGAATATACACGAGCTGCAAACAAAATCGGTAAATAAGTTACAGAAAAAAATGGTCGAGGATAAATAATATCAATTTGGTAGTTCGCCATTTTGAATCAAATCAACAAATATTCAGTAACGTGTGTGGTATTTATAAAGTTGCTGAAAAATTCCTGGGAAACATCTTTGTCTGATCGAAAATCTGTGGTGATTGAATTTCACCTCATTGAAGAGAAAAAATAAGTGAAAAGAGTCGAATTATTATGTCTTATCAGAGGTACATTACTTGGGGTTTGCAACGCACATAGTACTGTATGGTGACATCATGCCAAGATCCCATTCAATTCTCATCTCGTAGATAGCGAGACTGATGATACAACCTTATGACATAACATATGCGGTTTGTGATAAAACAATAAAACATGTAATACCACATTCATAGTAAAAAAATGTAATACATCAAAAATGTACAGAAAATAAAGTTATCATAATCATAGCAGCTATTTTGATCCACCTAGACATCCCAGTATCCTAGTTACCTCGGGCATTTTTCTGAGTTGGAACGCTTATGCGAGTATAGGCCATTGGGTATTAATAAGATCTAACATCTACCAATCGTAATGCATCTAACCATGCATCTGCTCAATACATTTGCTATGGGTTAAGTTTGGACTGAAAATGGAAAAGGATATTTTTGAGGTGAAAATAAAAACAACAATTTCCAAAAATGACTATTCAAATGTGTCCTTGTTGTAAAGAGAATATATGGGGAAAAGTATTTGGCTGATACACAACAAATATTGTGTCAGGGTTAAGAACATTTCTTCGGCACATGGTATAGTGTAGTTACGCATACTAATGAGGTCACATGACCACAATAACAAATACATTTTGCCCCACAAGTTTCAACTTTCATCTTAAACGAATTGGAAGGTCCCTGTATTATTTTATATAAGGTCATATGTTTTGTAAGTTACATTTATTATACCACTGGTTGCAAGTAACTATCTGCGATTTTGCTCGAGATATTACAGTAATGCATATTAATGAGGTCACATGAACATATATGGTCATCTACTATTTATTTCATCATATTAAGAATCTTACGTGTATGCAATTGTTCTTAGTAATACTTATTTATTGAAGAAAAGTTTATAATTTACATCAAGTTGTTTTACACTTATTATAGGTATATATGATACCTTTAATTAAAACAACTTTACAATTCTGACTGTAACATGATGATATGTACACCATACACTATGTGTGATGGTGATAATACACATGTACGCCCATGCCAGATGATTTACTGGTGGAAAGAAATTGAAGCATATTCAATCATATCATGAAGACACTCAGGCATTAAAAATATTGCCAAGAATATCAGGCGTATCATAATCCCACTGGTCATATGTGTATGGGCTGATGGGCGCTGACCTTCGTACATGCGCAGAACGTTGTTTCCAATCAATGAAATCCGTAATAACTCTGCTGTCATCAATGCTGCCTCTACTTTGAGGGTTACTACATGTCAAGATCGAACAATACGTAACAGCACACTAAAATTAGTCAAGAATGCTATAGAAATGGCGCCCACAAAAAAGAAAAAGAATGATTCTGCAATTGGACGTTAACCTGCTCAAAGCATATTTCTGAATGTGTATACGCTCATATTTGTTATATTTGTGTTGCATTGAACGTATAAGAATAATTATTGATTCGTTATTACCATTATCACTAAAATTGTTTATACGTTTAATGTAGTACCGACTATTGATTAGTTTAAGCTTCAAATGTTCAGACATTTTAACACTATACAAAATAGTGGGTACAATTACATCAAAACCGACAGAAAAACGATATCATAACATGCTGGTTCTGTCAATCATAACACACATTTGTTTTAACATCCGCTCACCAGTATTGTTTTGGTGTAGACTGATTATTATCAGGCTGGTGAACAGACAAGCTGTACCTCATAAAGACTGTTTGGCATGAAAAAAAAACATCTCATGACTTATTATCAGAATGATTGTGATCAATTTGTGTGGCACCATACTAAAAAAATCGGGAAAAATATTTATTTGATACATACAGTTTGTGCATATTCATCATTATGAGAATCATCCTTGGACCCACGGTTATTTTATTTATTTTTGTTGACCCAAAGTAGAGTAGTATTGGTGATTCACTTTCTCAACAGATACTTGCTAAAATAAGTTCCTATTCATAAATCTAATGCACTCGGTGAAACAGTTTCATATGCACTTAAGATGACCAGCTTATGTACATAAAACAGTGACACTTATTAAATTAATTGATGTGTTTCAATTGTTTGAATCTATGATTCCAACCATGAATCAAAACTGTTTCTATGTTTTACTATATGATAGGATGGCAGGATGGCGTTGAATTGTACAGTTACCCACTTCTTCTGATCAATAAACGTTATTGATACGCTAGATAAACACCGTATAGTTAACAGTATATTTTCACAACAAAATTAGCCATTTCCTGCCAATCATTTTGTGGCCAGGCCAGAGAAGGAAAATGCGATGTTCATTAATAAACCGATTAATCAAGGACCGACAATTATAGGTATGTGAATACTTCAGTGAAAATATTAGTAACTGTCCAATAATGACCAGACAAATCAGGCCTGTTGTTTTTGTTTGTATTGCAATCGCTACAACTGGCACAGAAACAATGTACACAACATAATTTATCTTTGAAACACTTGTTTCCAAGGTAACATCTACACTGTGCAAACATACTAAAACTAAAGAACCTAAACATTGGAAGTTGATAATTATTAGTTTTCAGTGATGGACCTCAATTTATAAGCATCTTCCAGCTATGTTTTACACTGTTTCTCTCAGAATGCATTGGACAAACGGGGTTGCTGACCACTAATTCAGTGAATCTTGGCTGATTTGCTGCTTTTCATGAGCTTTGGAAATAGCGAAGTATAGTTGATCTATATCTGGCTGCCATTATTTCTGTTTTCATTTAGCCAGCTATGTTCGACATTTGTCATGTTGGAAATACGTCAAAATTACGAAAAGTATTTTAGTGCCATATTTATCTAGTCATTTCCCATTAAAAGGTATGACTTATCTATTAAAAATGATAATTTCAGTTGTTATTACTCCATATACGCCAATGTATGAGCATACCGGGCAGCTGACAACATGTCAATTATGTTTGTAATTACGTTAAATATTGATTTCCTATTCTATCAATTAATAATGAATGATAAACTTGTATCTTCCTCAACTCGGTAGTTTCCCTGTGAAACAATGCCTTTGTAATTTCTGCATTTCAATAGTGAATAATTTATGGCCAAGTGTTCACAGGACGGAAATCTAGTAGACAGGTCAAATGTTATAGCAGTCCTGTGACTGTCGTAAATTGTCATCGTTGGGCAAATGGGTTAGCAATCTGGTGCATTACGTGGTAAAGTAAAATACCGGTTATTCGGCGGCGTTAACACTTAAATACAATATGTATGTATGTATTTAAATTATTCTCTATAACTAAGAGCTTAGTCCATGAAACGTTTCACTTCACCAATTACTTTTTGTGACCATGCTTCACTCCTTTTTTTGCCACACGCTACTGTTGTCCACAACTCCATATAGGTACAAAACGCATCATTTGTTTGGTTTCATAGACAACTAATCAAGTATTTGCTCGACAGTATAAAGCAATAGTATTGGTTCCATGTCATTATTTTTTTTAATTTGGTAATCACCGAACATCGATAATGAGAATGATTTCTCAGTCACCAGAATCATTTCAATGCAACTGAC